TTTCCACCAATATATGAAATCACCAAAAGAAAACCAAACTCCGAGTTTTAAATTTATAACTTAATACAGAGAACATGGTGATGACCGGGAATTCCGATGTAGACAATAACCTAAAATACGAGCGTGGTCGAGCAAAAATTTGGAAAAAGGTCCGGTAAATCCCGAAACAGAAAATTTGTCTTAGAAGCTATGAAATTTCTATGTATATAATACGTTCAAACCTCTAGAAGGTAGAGAGGGTAATGTAAAACACAGAATTAATTGGTCTACCAGTTAGCAAAATATCAGCTACAGTCAGACCTTCCTAAATGCTAAATACAACCTCAAGCTCTGGCTCAAGTATATTTCTGACCCTCATAAATGCAATTCTTCTTATTATTCTCTAAATGCATGCTATCAAAAGTTTGGTCCAACGAATTACACTTAGGGAAGTCTGACTATAGTTGTTAGACAAACCTTTTTCGCATGATGACGAAAGACGAAACCTCTGACGAAAGTCAAACCTTAAAATGACGAAACCTTAGGCTCAAAATGACGAGACCCTAATGCTTTCGCTAAAAAAAAAAAATTGTTATTTTTATTGAATTAACATGTCAGCAAAAATAAACCATTTCATTTTTTCTGGACAACGCCAGGGTTGTTATAGACCAGTTAAAATAACCCTATCAAAAAGCCATAGTACTCATGGAATATCACAAATAACGAATTAAAAACATACTGCCACAAAATAAAATGTAAGATCGCAAAGTAAGCACCAAGCGACTTCTCACTAGAGCTTATATGTAGTGTACTAGTATAATACAATATAGAATATTCATTTCTAACTCCCTTTAAACAATTCAAGTGCCTAATATAATAAAATTTTTTGTAATTTTTATAAATTTCTGTTTTTTTAGTTTATTTTTTTATACATATAATCTTCAATGATTTTCAGCATTTATTTGTATACAGAGAGACCTCTTTAAATGCACTCTCTATAAATGCGCCCTCTATGTAAAATTTCTTTAAATGCACAGTATAGTCTAGCCCAGCTTCTATTAGCACTATATATTTTGCTATCTATAAATGCACACCCTCTCTAAGTGCAAATTTTTGGAATTTTTTACTATGGTCCCGAGGGAGGGTGCATTCAGGGAGGTCTCTCTGTATTCGTCTTTCATTAGTGTTGTCACCCTTTACAGTTTCGTCGGTTTCGTCTCCTTTCATCAGTTTCGTCATTTAAGATTTTCATTGGCGAAAGACGAAACTAGGTTTCGCGTTTCGTCAGCACGAAACCTCAAAGTTTCGTCTAACAACTATAGGGCTGATTTTATATAGTAATTTAATAAATATTCACATCATACTTTAAATATTCTGGTTAAAATTACAATACACCTTTTAACCAGTGAACTATAAAATCAAAAAGAACTTTATAAATTATCATATCACATAATCGTGATTCCATTGTTGCCGCAGCTAATGCTGACCTCAATTTTTATTAAATAAAGTCCTATTAAAATCCACTTATTATCTCTTATTAACTCTAATCTAAATCCTGCTATAAATTCTCCAAAAAAAATTTCAGATTTCATATTAAAATAGGTCCAAATTTCAGTAGCATTTTATACTTATACGTATATCTATTTTGTATTTGGCCTGGCCAAAATCAAATTGAAATCTCATATTAATGGTGCCTGACGAATGACAAAACTTTCGTCCAAAAACAGTAATAAAAGAAATGTTTCTGACTGACAAACTTATGACGAATGATGAAAATTATAATAAATGATGAAGCACAAGACTTTTATTCATCTTTCATAATGTAACAAATCATCTTATGTGAAATTAATTTTTTGTTTGCACTGTCCTATCTATCCACTTACTAACACACTTATTCGAGAAGGCTTTAACCTATCGATGAAACTTTACAATGAAAAAAATCCATTTTGAAAAGCATAACACGTGATAATTGACCAATCAAAACATTTATTATATCATGTTATTAACAATTACCGCCAAGTAATTTTATTACACACAGAGTTATAAGCATGTTGTTTTCTTTAATAGGTTAACAGTCTTTTGGTATCTACCTCAACAAAGAATCTGATTGATCCGTTAGATCAAACTGGCCAATCAGATTCCTTATTGAATTCATTGAAAGAGATGCCTTTTAACAGTTTATTACATGCAGTTTAAAGCCATTTAAATCATGCTCACTTATGCGGCTCTAAGTCCTGTGACGTCACTCACTTCATGGAGCGCGTACGTACGTATGTACTGTACGTACATACGTACGTACATATGTACATCTGTGCGTACAGTACGTGCGTACCCCTACTTAGCGTCTTTTCGATCTATCGACTTTATATTAACTTGAATTATTAGTGTGATAAGTCATCATAATGCAACCTTAAAAGCCAAAATTCTGGTAAATGAAATTTAATATTAAGGTTAAACGAGATTAAGTTAAGAAAAAAGCTTCTAAAACTGTTAATAAAACGGACACTTGGTGCAATATAGTCTTTCGAGTTTATATGAGGATCTTTAATGTGAGACTTTTGAAACCTACTTTATGCTTAAAGCCTCATTGATTTATTCATATATAAAAATGAAAAAACGCCAATTTTTTATTTAAATCAAAAGAAAATATTCTATATTTTAATACGTGTAATATTAAATCCGACTTTATTAAAAAATCACATAACAGCTATAAACAATTAGGTATTATGAGTTAACACAAATTAAATCAATTTATAAACATATTATTAACTCACTAGCAACGCTGCTAAGTGATACTTAGAAATAAAAGTAAATCTACAAAAAAAAAAAAAATAAGAATATACTTTCATATGTTTTTTTTTTTTTTTTTTTGACATATTTAAAATAATAATGATTAATTATTAGTAATATAAAAGGTTATATATATATATTCACAACATTACTGCCAAATCAAATAAAATTACGGCTCCATTCCTCAGCATCAACAAAATAGTCACTAAAATCATCACTCATTTTCTCTTCAGATCCCGATTCATCATCAACTTTAGATATAACAAGAACAGGTACCGATACATTATTTTTTTCCATATATGAACTCGTGAACGACTTTTCTCCTTGACCACTCCTAGGTCTCAAGACTGATAGTGGCCGAATTCGTGAAACTTTAAGTTGGTCATTCGAATCATCTTTAACAATCAATTCTTCACGCTCAGATTTCTTTCCTTTTTCATCATTTGGTGATGATGTAACTTCAGTAAATTCTGTTACTCGTATTTCTATTCCATCCGAACGTTTCCCATCATTATCGGATTCAGCATCTATTAAACTAGGTTCATAATCTTCATTCTCACTTCCATTTGATTGTTCTTTGACATCATCAAGTACAATTATACTACTAGCATCATCTCTAAAACTGTAATCATCTCGATCATCAAGTTCATACTCAGAAATATTTCCATGAAAATCACTACCCTCTTCATTATCACCATAAGTTGAAAGTGATGTCCTACTAGATTCACCAGAACTCGAATTTAAAGATAGTGATGATGGAGAAGTACGAAGGAATGAAGCCATAGTGGCAGGTCTTAAATTACTCTCAGAGTTTCTCTCAGTTGGTTCAAGTAATTTATTATTATTACTAATTGGTTCCTTGACAAATAATCGCCCAAATGTTTCAGGAACTCCCAAAGTTTTTGATGATAAATTCGCCGTCGTATAACACACAGCATTATCATCCACACTATTATCTCCAGGTGTAAAATAACTTCTTCGATTTTGCCAATAAGTTTTATCTTCCATTACCGTTGAACATAAATCTTTTTCCAAAATTTCATGATAACATACAAGTTTACTTAGTTCTAAACATGTATGTTTTAGTCGAGATCCTACTAAAGTTGCAACTTTTAATATACGATCTCTTGTTGATGCTTTAAATGGCATCATTAGAAATAGATTGTTTCTAAATCGAATGTCTGCTTGAAGCTGAGATGTTAACGTAGTAATTTTACCCCGAAGTTCATTAGTTTTTGACTATCAAAAAAAGAATTATTAGCAAATTAGTCAAAATGATTAATAATTCAAATACGAAAAAAAAAATTATAAAAAGATGAACTTACACGAATCAAATTGGTGCGTCCTTGTGCTTCTTTAGCAGCATCATCATGACTGTACCCAAACATTCCAAAATTAAAACTACCCCGTCTTAAATTTCCAATATTCGGATTCCGAATATTTCTCATCTTTAAACCAGCAGTTTTAAATGTGGCGGCATAATTGATTTTTGATATCCAATCATTCATTTCCTCTTCATTTTCGGCTTTAAATAAATATTGATGCCCTTTTGGACATACTAAACGAAAGACATTTTTATGTTTCTCATAATTTTTATCATATACTGCCACCGAATCTGCTGTCATGAGTATTACATCAGGCTTTAAGATCGGTAATTTTGATTTCTAAAAAAAATTCATTAATATTAAATAAATGATCGTAAAAGGAACCTTTATTCAATATAATAATCAATATAATATAAAAAAAAACAAACCTCAGGTTTATTCAATTTTTTCATTTGCATATTGAATCCTACTTCATCTTTAAAGAACATCAATTGACTACCACTCAATATGACGCCATATATTCTCCAGTTCCTTATGAAAGTACTTTTCTTTTTACCATCGATTAAATCAACCTTTCTTCCAAGTTTACCACATTTAGTTACATTTAAAAGAAAAGTTCCATCATCATCCGTTTTAGTGTCATTATATGTATGGCTCTTACGTCTATTTTTAACACCAGTAATTCGGATCGAATTAGACGTAGAAAATACACGGTGAAGATCTGTGGTGTCTAAAGCTGGTAGAGTTCCCATATAAGAATATGGATTTTCCGTGGGAACAATATCTTTAATTTTAGGTTTAAATTCCGTAGGTGATTTCTATTTATGTATATGTATAAAAAAAAAATCAATGAGCATATTGTATATTATTGTATATTATTAAATTAATTCAACATCAGGTTCATTTGAACTTACAGTTTGTATAACCCAATAAGGATCGTTTTTAAAACGTATAGATTTTTTTCGTTCCTTTGAAGAGAACAACCTCCTTTGACGATGCTGTGTTGGTGATCCAAGCATTGTTTGACCATTAACGTCAGTATCATCTTGAGCATATATGAATTGAGTATATGTAACATTATCATAGAGAATCTGTAATATAATATCACGTGAGTTAAAATAAGTTTTTAAGTAACCAAACATTCATTCGACATTAATAATAATCACCTCCAATATTTCAGGATTAACGCCATCGATACGCGTATTTCTAACAAATTCATCTTTTGTCATCTTTTGTCTTACGCTTTTATTATAATAATCGGTGTGAAGCATTAATAAAGAGAATGCGAGCATATAAGGGGTATCTAATTAAAAATTATCAGTAGTTAGTTATCAGTAGTTATTAGTAAATTAGAAAGGTAATGCAAGATCATACAGTATCATACAAATTAATTTAATAAATAATTTACCCGCAGATGGAAATAAATCAGGATTTGTTTCGTGATAACATTTGGCAAATGCTTCTATAACTCGATCAATTTGTTGCGTTTCTTTTGGTAAATTACATTCCATTAAAAGTTTTCTAATATGATTTCAGGTGCATATTTAGTAATTTAAATCGTTAATTATTGATTTATTAACATATAAAAAATAAAAATATATTTCATCTTATTATTAGAATCTATAAAAACATACCTCAAAGCAAGATCAATAGGAACTTTTTCGAACTCAAAAAGTTCCATGTAAGCTTTAAGTGCAGATTGATGAAAAGCATCAGATCTAAAAATTGAAAAAAAAAAAAAAAAAGCGTATCATTAATTAAACATCATCTGACCATTCCTGTAGTAAATTTTCACTCGATCAAATAATAATAAAAACTCACTTTTGCGTTAATATTGTAACCAATTTTGATCTTGAAACACCATACATCATCCTTTCAAGATATTGTTTTGGAGTCTCTCTATCAATTTTAGCTTCAAACTCATTATTTAAATTTGTCATGGATTTTGTCGAAAATACTTTATTTATATTATCAGGTAGTGACATAGTCGTAATATTTAGAATAGGAGCTGATCCCGTACGTTTATGTTTTTTAGGTAGTTTAGTAGGACTCTCTCCAATCACCGAGCTCCTGAAACCTGATGAACTCTTTGACTCTAAAGTAGGATCTCCGTGATGTAAGGTTGAACTTCTATTACGTCGAGGTTTACCCTCATTCTGTGATGGTTTTGTTGTAGAAGAAGAGGTTATTGAATCATTTTTTGAATTTGAAGATTCACCATGACTTGATTTATTAGTCTTTATTGGTAATGATGAGGGTTTATTAGGAATAATATTATTCGATGAAGTTGATGGTTTTAATATCGACGGTAAATCGTTCTTTTTTTCTGATGTGTCCCTAAAAGACGTAGATGGCTTTGATGTCGATGAAATAGAATTATTTTTGATATGACCTTGAGATTTATGTGGATCATTATTATTGAAATTCATAGGATCGGAACCATCGCCATCGGGATTTTTAGAGACAGTAGTAGTTGTAACTGTAGTGACTGTAGTTGTAGTGGTCGTTTTTGTAACCGTTGCATTGGATGGTTTAATATCTTCTGCTATCGGCTCTCGTTTAGGTAAGGGTAAGGTTTTCGTAGTAGTTTTTGTTGATATTTTCGAGGAAGGATTATTATCTCGTGCTTGAGATATGGCGGATTTTGCTGAAATTGACTTTCGTTTATTTGACGAAAACATATTATGTACGATTATATGTAAAATCCACCAAAATGAATGAATGACACGTGGATATTTATCTTGAATAAAGAAAGTCAAAAATTTTGTTATTTGACGGATAGCCGACAAAAAACATGAACCACTTTATTTATATAGAGGATCTGAAATAAAAGAAAAAAAATTTTTTTTTTTTTTTATTATTATTAAAAAAAAAAAAAAAATTGCATCGAAAATTGTATACTGATTAGTTTGATACACACATCTATGCATATTACTGGTATCCAACATGCATTAATGTAAAGTGTGAAATGATTGGTATTAAATGTCATAGTTAAAAGTTTAATCGATCTTTGCATATAATATCTAGTCTTTTGTTTACATTACACTACTTGTTGAAAAAACGCACAGACGAAATGTCATATTAGACATTATAAACTATTAATGTAATGAAAAAAAATTTTTTTTACGGTCCTGACCGAATATTTAAAGCATTTTTTATTAACGTTAAACCTTAAATAAAAATCATGAATGTGTACGTACGTATAAACTTAATCGTATACATGTGAATTTGATATCACGTAAGCCTACAGGGGGAGGGTACCCATTTTGAGCAGACAAGAGTTAAAGCAATTACCGAATTGTCGATCTCATATACAGACAATGCCAGGGACGTTAGATATATTATTTGCCACGATAACATTGGTTAATTTTCTAGTATTATTGGGCCAATAAAATTTTAAGGGATGGTCAGATGCTACGTATCAACATATATTACCCCTTAGTATTATTAAATAAATTTAGTACTATATAATTTAATATTAATAGGAAACACATACTGTGCGTGCGTGCGTAAATACGTACGTACGTAATTAAAAACACGAATAAAGATTCGAATAGAAACATTGGCAATCTCATAATAGACCATCCAAAAAAAATGCAAAAAGATACAAATATTCCGTTTTTGATGATATTAGAATATTAAAAAATCAAAAACGTAACTCTGTCTGTTTCCACTTGTGCTACACAACAATAGCGCGTTAAAAAATATACGTTAATTCTATAGAACTATCTTAGCATATCATTAATTTAGTGGTGAGAATAAAAAATTAGTCAAAGAAATTATCTTAAAAAAAACAAATTTAGTAGTAAAAATAAGTTGTTCGTTACGATTAGATAATTTTTTTGAATTGAGTTTTATAAGTGTTTTGAACTCTACATTTTAAATATTGTATTTGTAGGTGAGCCAGTATCATCTGTTAAGTAGAGTTAAAAAAAGACATGATATTTGATATAGTCGACTACCAATACTACTAAAATTTTAACCGTCCAGAATATTACAGTATTATGATTTTGATGATAAGCAGCACGTACCTTTGTTTTTTAAGGGAACTATATTTCCACCCACGTACGTACGTACATAGATCACTCATTTTTAAACCTTTGATCGAAAGTATCTCGAAACTAGTTTCGGATTTTTTTAAAAAGACCCGAAACCCCCGAAACTCTAAACTATAATCCGCAATTCCCCGAAAACTATAATAATAATAATTATATATATATAATACGTATATAATTTAATTTATTATTTAATAATAAAAACCATATTTTAATAAATAAATAAATAATTTTTTTAATAAATAAATAAATAAATTTTTAGTAAATAAATATTTTAATAAATAAATATGCAATAAAAAAATATATTTAATAAATAAATATAATATATATATAGATAAAATATTTTATATTAAAGTATACGTATATATTGTATTTGAGATAAAAAAAAAACCTTAATTATTTACGGAATAAATCTCAATACATAAAATTAAATATAAGAATATTACTAACTATAACCGGTGGTGATTTTGCTATATCTCGAAAACTACGAGCTAAATCATGTCGGGAATACTAAGCACAAAATGTTAAAAACCCCCAAAAACCAAACTCTAACACTAACTTAGAATTTGAACTAATCTAAATATTATATGAAACTTTCAGGATATATGCAATTTATTATCCCGAAAAATTTTAAGACATGAATCGATTGGCTTAGCTATGACCATCGATTAGGAAAGTAAATAATGTTCGAAACTCTTTGGTATTACGTATCTATTGACCAGTAAAATTATTTCATGCGCAAATGATCAAAATGAATTATTTAAGGATTTGGTACGAAATCCCGAGGATCTAAATCCCGATGGTATTAGACCCCAACACTCGAAATCTCGAAATCTCGAAAGAACCATATACTGACAATTCATTAACTCGAAAGCTATATCCTGAAAAGAAAAAATCTCAAATAATTATAATCCCGAAGAATCACAGTCCCG